CATCCATCCATCCATCCATCCATCCATCCATCCTTCCATCCATGTACTGTTGGGGGTTGAACTCAGGGCCTTTGCACTGAACCAACACCTTTTCTATTATAAAATTCTGCGATAAGGTCTTGCTAAGTCAGAACAAGAGCTGTCTAAAAGCATCTGAAATGTGGGTGCAAGTGTGAGAGTGAGGAGGAGGTGAGCTAGGAATGCAGAGGATCTGCCCGTCACATGTGGAATGGTTGAAAAAGATGTGGTACTTTTATATAATGGAGTACTACTCAGCTACAAAGAATGATAAACTTGAAGCCTTCATATTTAAGTGGATGCCCCTTGAAGATATACTTATTAGTGAAATAAACCAGACCCATTTGTGTAAATATTGTATTGTCTCCCTAATATAAGGACTTATAATTTCGTATATGGTTAGGTTTCTAAATTTCTTTGTAAAAGTATGTACATGCTTATTTCTACTTTTATATAATTATTTTTCCTTCATATTCTACAAGGACTTAAAGTTCAACATATCAATACCTGATGGAAAATACCTGTTCCAGGATATGCCAAAATGTTTGACATTTTGACAGATAGGGTAAACCGAACTGCATATATTGCAGGTTAATAATTAGCTTCTCTTCTGGAGGGTTAACAAACTAAGTTAGCAGATCAAAATTGGAGAAAAGGAAGGGCTACATGGTTAGCCAACATTTTGGCCCTAGCCTTTCAAGGTCAGTGAAGACTCAGGACATAGGAGAACCTGTACTGTAACAACATGTAACTCAGCTGTGCTCCAAATTTTCTAATCAAGAAGATTATGGAGCCACAGAGGAATGTGATCAATGATGTATAGTGTGCCTGGGGAGAGTCACATGGAGAGAAAAAACATTTTCTCAAGCTTTCACAGAGAGCAAATTGGTCAAGCAATGGCCGTGACTCATCCTCAGGTCAGACACTGACATAAGAATGTACAAAAGGTGGTACAGGGCTATAGGATAAATCCTGAGAGTACTTGGCTGACCTTATCAGATACAAAAGTTACATTTCTTGTTATAAAGGTCTTGCTATATCTTGATCTTAACCATCCAGCAGAAAAGTATAAAAATGAGGTATATAAAGTAAAGCCATATTAATACGATGAGCTGTAAAAGGCTCAAGTCAATAACTTCTGAAGATAACCCACTACTATTATAGACTGCTAGACAGTGTTGGATTGTTTAGTTGAATTTAGACACCTACAGTATTTAGATGCCAACGGAATATTCACCTCTGACAAGACCAAAAAAAAAAAAAAAAAAAAAAAAAAAAGGATACAAAGGAAAGATCATTTTGTGTTTATATATATACAAAATAGTTAGGATAAATTTACAGCTACTTTTGCTTAACTCAATGAGAAGAAAGAGGTGTACTAACAGTGTTTGGACAGAATATCCTGTCTGCTTCTTGTACTATGGATAACCACTAAGAAGATAACAATGTACAGTGTATTGACTATCAAAACTGTGTCCTATTAATCAGCTGTGAAACTGTCTCATTCATATTTACTTCTCAATAAAAAAAATAAATTAATTTAAAAAAGGAATGCAGAGGATCCATAGGAAAACCAGCACCCTGGGAAGGAGGGTGCTGCAGGGGGTGTGGAGAGAGCCATCCTGTTCTGTGGGGTCTGGTGCTTCCCCTCCCCTGGAGGCAGCACTGCCCCCCATTCCTAAGCCTTCCTGGGGAGCGAATCTGGAGCCCAGTAATCAGAACTTTGAGGCCACACTTGGTTAATGTCAAGCAAGCTAATTCTGCATCCAGAGGAGCATGAGGAAGAGGACTCCCTTCACCCACCACAGAGCATTTCCACAAGCACCCACCCGGCAGCCCTGCCAGCCCACTCACCAGCAGGCTGCCGAGGCCCTCGTAGTCGAATACCTTGCTCTCGTAGGTCTCAGCCAGCTCCTTGCTCAGTTTGATGGCCTTCTCCCACATCTTCAGAGATAGGAAAGCAGGGTGAGACTCAGCGGAAAGAGCAGTCACCAAGCCAGTGCTGGTGTCACTGGCCATCACCCGGCTAACGTCAGTGGTCAGGTGGGCTAAAGGTCCGAGGGTTTTCTTGACACACTTCAGCCTTTGTGTGGACAAAATCTTTCTTTCCCGAAGCCACAAGGATGCTACAGTCTGAGCACTACCACCCCATCCCTCCTGCCATCCCGAGTGCCTGAGGCCTAAGGGGCTTCCAATCAGGGTGCCCATGAGGTCAACAGCGCTTACTGTAATCATACTATTAATAATGCTCTATTATCTTTTCCCAGGCTTAGCCCAGAGGCCACACAACGTATGACACCACAGCGGAAGGAACGCTGAGGCAGGTACCTGCATCCTGTCGCTTCCACTAACCAAAGCTTGGCGAAATGAGTGCCACTGAGCTCAGGCATTCTCTGGTAAATACAGCAGCTTCCTAAATACTGATGCTCTATGTTAACAGGTAGCAGCGTTGTCACTGTTCAAGGAACCAGCAAGTAAATATTTATATTGCTCTGCTTTTATTTCAAAGAGTACAAATATCAGTAGATAGAACCCACAGGAACAATCATGCTTTGGGATCCTCAGTAATTTTTTAAGAGGACAAAGTGCTCAAGAACTAAAATGCTTCAGCAAATATATCCTACTAGCTAGGCCTCAATTCCTTACATATAGAACAGATAGTATTTAGCTTATTGACTATTCGTACTTTAACTAGATTTTACTAAGAATACAGACATAAAGACTGGGACACAGGAACTAGCAAGGCTGAACTTGAGATTTGTTTGGCTAGCAAAATACATCTTTCTTTTCTCCCAATCGTCCCCTAACTTCTGTTCTTCCATTTTTAATTCCCAAGCCTTTCCACTGGACACACTTTCACAGATTCTACCACGTCCTGGCCCTGTTCTATGTTTAGTTCACCTTCCTGCCCCTGTAACCATTTAAATCTGTTACCTCCAACCTCTAGCGTCACACCAGGGCGACCTGTGAATGAGGCGTGTGCCACATTTCTATCAACCATCTTCTGAGGATACATAGCAACTGATGCTCCTGGTGCCCAGCAAAATTGAAAAGAAAATTACAGTTATGAAAACATGGGCTGCCCCTTCTATTCTTCACTATTAAAGTGTCCTCATTGGAAGAATATTCATGACCTTTCAGAATCCAGTATGTATTCTTATTCTCACTCATGGAAAATATTCAAGTTCAAAGATGCACAAGCATATGACAAAAAGTCAATGAGTCACTGTTGAATATTAAACAATTGGTGAGTTCAGAAAAGAAGCCCTTGGAATTCACCCAGGGATAGGAATGTCTATTGCTGATTGGCCCCTTAAACCACACCACGCCAGACTCTATGCTAATAAGGTGACTAGGAAGGCCCCGCCTACATTTATGCTAATAGTCTCAGGGAGTGGGCTGGCTTGGCCAGAAACACCAACCAGGTAGGAAGGAAGTGGCAGGTTCCAGCCCTGTGTTATTAGCCCTACTCTAGGGAAGAGAGGGGCTTGGAGACTCAGTTCAATCATTAGCCAGGAACTCAATCAATCAGTCTATGCAGTGGACATTTCTATTTACGGAGGCTCAGGTGAGCTTCCTGATTGGCAAATACATTTTTTTTTAGTTGAAGGTCTGTGTTGCCCCAGCTACTCTCCTACTCCTGACCTCAAGAGATATTCCTGCCTCAGCCTCCTGTGTAGCTGAGACCACAGGCACAAGCCACCATCCTAGTGAGGAGGTCAGTTGCCAAGGTGATGTGCCCTGAGTTCAAAAGACAGAAACAAGACCTCTGTCTGTGAACCTGCTAGACCTGGCCCTAGATGTCTCTTCCTCTGGCTGGTACTGGTGTAAGCCCCTTATTATAGAATGTAATCATTACACAGAGCACTTTTCTGAGTTCTGTTACTTACTTGGGGATCATGGGCACCCCCAAATTTATAGCCCATTGGTCAGAAATGTGGATGGTCTGGGAACCTCATCAAAAGGGATATGGGGGCCTGGGAGATGGCTCAGTAGAATAGATGGCCTCCCTGGCAAGCACAAGGGCCTGAGTTCAATCCCCGGGGCCGCAAAAAAAAAGTGAGGCAGGTTTTCATGGGGACGGTTCATTTAGCTTGTGACTCAGGGCTGGGGATTATGCTTGTCTAGGAAACTACAAACCCTGGGTTTGGTCCTCATCACCAAAAAGGATAAAGGAAAAAGAAAAAGCAAGACCTGTGAATGCGGCACCAACTCTGGGTGATGAGCTTCAGAACTGCACTGATTACAGTCACATTTCTTTCTAGGAGTACCAAAACAAGCCAACACTCACTTTGCCTTTGTCAAAATATGATATGATTTCTTGGTATAATTTCTCTTTCAGCTCTTGCTGGGTGTAAACATAGTACGTGTCCCTCTGAAGCAAATGGGGCATACAGGGCTTGTCGGACCACTAAAAAGGAACAAAGAAACATTAGCAATTAGTGCATCAAATTCATTCATTAAAAGAGTAGTGCACCTAATATGTATGACAAAAAACAGTGACATACATGTATATGTGTCTATATGCATATATATTTGACTCAACTATGTTGTAATTTAAATTCTTTACTAAATGAAAAGATTACACACATACACACTCAATATACTAGCACTAAAACAAGTGCAGTACCAACTGGCCAAACACGACATTCTCAGGCTCACAGAGATTAAAGGAAGACTGGTAACCAACATGACTAGGGTCAAGACAGAACCACTGCCACAAGCAGATGAAAACAACGTTAGGACTATAAATACGGGGAGGAGGAGGGAAACCTATCACTGCTTGCAACCGTGGTTGTGTTCTCAAAGCACAAAGCTATTCACTGACAAACTATTGTATACAGTACGGGGAGGAGGTAGCTGGATAACAAAAACTAACAGCTCTGAAAAGGAACAGACTCAGGTATGAGATGAGCGCACAGAATAGAAAATGCCCAGCCTGAAAAAAACTGCAGTAGATAAGCCAGCGTCAGCCTCACAAGGATTATGCAAAACTAACATGCAGATACCTATGGTCCAGCATGGTGACATGCAAGTAATCACTGAGAGGTGCAGGAGTGGACCTGTGACAAGCTAGGACCTCCGGACCAAGGCAGCATGAACTATGCCTAATGAATGTCATCTCTGCCGAGTAGCTATTTGGGAAGAACGCTCTGTCAGCACCTCACACCTTACATCAGGATGGGAGAGTTTAACTTTCCAACAGCCCCCAGGAAAAGACCTACAGTTTGAGGTCCCAGGGTCTCCTCAGAGTCATCCTACCGTGAAATCCACAATCACCAGGCCCCACTCACTAACCTACACATAGTGAGCTCACTAGAGTCCCAATCTCGAGTAGGACTTCAGTGAGTTTCCTCTGGGAAGTATGAGGCAGGGAATGCCTTTGTTTCCTAGCTTAGAACATTCATTAGAGTGGACCAGCGGGATAGCTCAGCATACGAAGCGCCTGCTTAGGCAAGAGCAGGGACTGGGGTTCGATCCCCACCCTGGGTGTGCTGAGCTGGCCACTATAGTGCACGCCTATAATCCCAGAGTTGGGAAGGCTGCAAACAGAAGGATCAATACATATTAGGATAAAATAAAATCATAGCTCAGTGGAAGAATGCTTGTGTGGTACACTTGAGGCCCTTGGTTCAATTCCTAGCACCGTAAAACAATCAGTTAATTCAACTGTAGCAGAAAATTAAATGCTGGGTATAAGAATGGAGACCAAGATGCTTCAGAAGAGGCCACTAAAGTACACGAGTGAGACATGATGGTGGCTCAGGCCAGGGGGCAGCAAGTAGATAAAAGAAAAGTGGGCGGAGTAGTGGAACATTCCAGGGGAGGCTGGAGCCCCTAAATTGTTCATGGAGAATATGAAAGGCAGCGACTGAAAGAATCAAAGATGCCCAGGAGGGCGAGGGAGCAGATGGTGGCGCCACAGTGTTGACATAGTGAGGGAAAGCAGTGGGAGTGGGCTGGGAGGGGCACAGGCGGGGAAAGGAGGGTTCTGTTAGTGACAAGCGTGAGCCCCAGCTGCTCAGAGACTGATGACACAAGCTTACGCATAAATCCAAAGGCAGAGGAGGCGGTCAGGGCTCGCTGGAAATACATGCCACCATACGACTTTACTTGAAGAGTGAGCATAAATAGGAGGATACTTGGACGGTACTTTATTGGTAATTCACCTCGCTGCATTTTAACAGAGCTCTTTATATATTAATCAATGTGCATTTTCTTTCATTAATTAGAATGTCAGTTCCCAGACATCTCCTAGCTGTGCTGTGCTGTGCTTGCTAAGGCTTTTCAAATAAATGATAAATGACACTTCCCCAACCTGTGCCTGAAAAGTAGCTGTGTCCATGCAGAAGGGATTAAAAACGTCCTTAGATCGCGTCTTGGCTTCTTGGCTAAAATCAAGTGTAAACATGTCCTTAGATAAAGGACTTCCCTTCCGTAAGTTCTTTCTCCTCATGAAATGTTCAGCATACGGCACTACAGGGTCGGGACATCGGCAGTGACCTTCCGTTCTGTCCAGAAAGGCTTCGCTGACCCTCTTACCTGCAGAAGCTCTGCATGTAAGAGAAGAGTATAGGCAGCTTCCGTGTAGTTCTCGCAGTCTCGGTGCAGATCTCGAAGCTTGTACAGGTACCTATAGGAAGGGCAGACAGGTGGCACTTCGTCAGCCCGGACAGACGTGGGGCTAGCATTCAGCTCAGGCCCCAGCTCCCGCTCCCGCTCCACCTTCCCCTCTACCACAAGAACACTTTGTCTTGGCAAAGGAGCTGGTCACTTCCCATCTCTTATTCCTGTTAAGTCACTTTTCTGCCTGTGACTTTCCTACTCTATTTATTCTTTTTCTTCTTCCCTTCTGTCAGTAGCCCTTAACTACCTTTCAGGTCTTCCTCTCCTTTGGGAAGAAGGCCAACATTATGGAATCTTGCCCCAGAGCACGCGTGATTTACGCACCAATGTTTCCTCTTGGGGACTCAGGGCCCCAGGCAAAGCCTCCAAGGCAGGTGAACTCTACTGCCTGCTCCCTCCCTGCCCGGCAGAAGTCTCTCTCCTCCAAGCCTAACAGGCCCACTCCTGACTCCCTCACAGGTGCTTGTGTTGCCTCCTGGGAGAGTTCAGTCTTGTGGAGAAATGGGGCTCCCAAGCAGCAAGCGAGGTGTTGCGGCAAGGTGTGTGTCGTTGATCACAAAACCATGACACAAAAAGCTGAAGCATTTAGTTTCCTTCAGCTTACCTGATGTATATGTCTTCTCGCTTCTTTTCTTTATAAAAATTCTGCCAAAAAATAAAGATCATAAAATACCAATGTAAATTTAAACTAGTTAACAAAAAATGGCTTTTCAATGATGTGTTTTCCAAAGAGCTCATCATTTCGTTTACTAAATTCTGTAGGGCAAGGCAACTCATAAAGAAGGTAAATTAGAGAACTTTCTTAAAGGACCATGCTTCCAGAAACATGAAAACCTGAGTGAACAGACTGCAATCTCACCCTGAAGGTGCCTTATACACTGTTTTCTCAGAGAATCAGGAAGGTAGTAATTTCTTAGTTTACAGTCAGCCGAGGTGTCCTCAGCCACCTAAGCCTTGGAGGTCTGCAGTGCTGGGTAACACAGGCCGAGGCAAGGCAAGACCAAAGAGTTCTACCTTCGTGAGGATGCTGCAGACTAACTTTTTGTGCTACAGGGATTCTGTCCATCTCTTCCAATTCTAGCAGTAAAGCAACCACAACATTATTAGTAAAACAGAGAAGCAGGTGGAGGATGGTCTTTAGAAGGGGTGAATTCGGTGCTTATGCTGCGTGTTTTGTGTCCAAATTTATATTCAAGGCCTGCACCTGCTAGGTTCTGGGAGCCCAAAGCTGACTCAGCCACGGCTCTATGATTTGGCAGGTCAGACGTATCCATGAAGGTGACCCAGCGAACCTGTGCACCGGGAGATGGCCCTGGCCCAGCGCCACAGGCAGCATGGCAGCCGCGCAGCACCCTCCTCCCTTCCTGGGGTGACACCTACCAGCACATTCACGGTGCAGCTCATGCGGTTCTCTTTGCTCTCGTCCTGCATGATGATGGTTCTGTAGTCCAACAGGTGCTCCAAGAGGCTGCTGACCAGGAAGGCAAAGACTTCCCCGGAGCCAGAGAGGTACTTATGTTTCCGGCAATGTTCTAGAAGCCTGGAGGGGGTTGTGGTAGAGACAAATGCCCAGTTTCTACCCTGTCCTTTTAGAACATTTGTGAGCACCGACAAAACCTCGCAGCAGGTGGCAGGAGTCAGTGACAGAGGATGTCGGCTGAGTGGACGTGCCCAGACTTTGCTGCGCCCCACCCCGTCCTGGTACCTTCCCTTGGTTGGGCCTCTACTCCTGCCACAGCTACACTTCATTAGCACTTGGCTCGGCTCCCAGCCCCCCACGGCCTTCTGGGAAGGTCAGTTTGTGCCTGTGGGTCTTTCACTGGACATCACAGAAACAAGGACTTTTGTCTAAAGGCTCACTGATGCTGATTGGCTACTGCAGTCAGCTGTGTGAGACAATCTTTCCCTAGCCTGGCATCTCATGGGCATTCTGGGATGCCTCGGGCTGGTAGAGAGAGAGAGCCCCAAGGAAACTGGTGGACATTAAGACAGGTGGCTCTTCAAGAAAAGACTTTTTTAAAAGGTAGAAATGCAGAGTTGTAAACAGCAGACTGGGGCTACGCTTGGGGTCCAATTCTCTGACCTCGGGCTGATACACAAGGAGTTTGCGGAGCAGAGTACTACAGCATCTTAGGGGGATGGTTAAAGAGAACTTGAGAAGAAGAAAGCAGAAGAGAAAGAAATGGGTCCAAAGAACTAGTGCAGGCTGCAGGGTTATTCTTAGCCTTGGCAACTTGAATAATCATGCTTTTCTGAACCAGTGATCCCAAAAAGCTAGGAAAAAAATGAAGATTTTTTACATGAAAACTAAGCTGTAGCAGTTTTTAGAAATGAGGGATTCATCATGTGTGAATATGGCGTGTGTTTCCATACACATGTAAGTTGTTTCGCTGTTCTGTGTGGCATCGGGGTGGCTTAGCATCATAAACTGGAGAGTGGAAGGTCAAGCAGGACAAAATCATCCCCCAAAGGGCTTAACGTCATGAAAAACGAAATCAGAAAGACTTCTCGCTCCCTCAAACCTAAGCTATCCATCAGTTCCACTGTCCTGACTAGGTAGAGTGCTGGTCCCTGGCCTCATGCTCAGCCTAGTTCACAAAATAGGTGAAAACAGAAAGAACCACGTGCATACTCAGAGGATGCAGCTGGTCAATACTGTGAAAGTCCCGAGAACACAACAGATCGAGCGCAGGTTTCCTACATGCCCAGGGAATGGTGGACGATTTGGAAATAATAATAGCAACAGTGTCACCACTATGTTTGTTTGTTTGTTTTTTTTTTTTAATTTTTTTTTGCAGAACCGGGGATTGAACTCAGGCCTTTGTGCTTGCCAGGGAAGCACTTATTCCACTGAGCCATCTCTCTGGCCCAATGTTTTAAAGCATGAACTCTGCAGTGTGTTATGCTGATGTATCAGCTCATTTTTATCACTGGATCGTGCTTATCAAATTATTTATTTGATCATTTTAATCATTTTTATCATTTGACATTAAAAATAAAATATTCTCCTGGATAGAACAAAAGCAGGTGCTGGGTAGACTGAATCACTGGACGCAAAATCGGATACCTGTGGGGAGGACACCAGAGCCAGCACACTCTCAGCACCAACGTCCAGCGAGGCTGAAAGCACTGACACTTCTTTTACCATTCTGGGACATGCGCAGAAGAGAACAGAGAGGGCAAGAGGGAGGAGGGGAACGTGTATGGACAGGGTGGAATGCAGCGAGACAGAGGTGACCGTGAGCTCAGAGGAAGGAGTGGATGTGCTCAGAGAAGGGGTGAGGGACAGGCAGTGGGAAGAGCAAGCTGGCAGGGGACAGAATCGCTTTGTTCATAGAGGTCTTTTATGGGACATGAAGTATTTTTAAATGTAAGGTGGATCTTGAAATGTTTTTCCTTTAAATGGTTGCTTTGAAGCCATAATTAGAGGTGCTAACACTCTTGCTGGAGTTCAAAAATTCAAAGACTGGGCAATGTGCCACTGCGCTGAACGTCTCCTCCTCTCCTCCATCTGCTCAGTCCACCAGGGCCTGGTGGCCAGGAAAACACAGGCGTTTGACTCACAGCTCAACAGTGTCAGTAGCGGGGGCTGCAAATCCTGTCGGCCCCGGCGAGGACACAGGATCCTGAGGCTGCCTGACTGCCACACAGGCAGCAGAGGCCCTGCCCTGCCTGCTGCTCGGCGACACCACCCACACGAGGATCTGTCCCTGGGACACTCACAGCTTCTCCAGAAGAACCTTGTACTGCTCATCTCCTCGGCCTCCTTCCACCTCCTGGTCCAGCTTTGTGATCAACTCATTTTCAAACTGAAAGCAGAATGAGAAATTTCACAGGAGGGTGCTGCTTCCTTAGTAGGGGACACTAGGGACACACGTCCAATCCTTTGAGATCTAGCCCAACCCCTCCACTTGGGAATGGTTTACAACACAGGTGGGGAGGACCTCGCTCTTCCTGGCCCAAGGCTAGCACGCCAAGACCCTGTCAAACACTCAGCAGCAGTCTGTGTGACTCTTGCAAAAATATAACAATGCAACAACCACAAACCCAAAACGTTACTTTCCGTTACAACTATGCATATAAAAATAGCTTCATGATTTCATTTTCTCTCTTTTTTTTGTTCTTGGTCTTAGTACTAAGACTGCTTTTGCTGAGCTTCATAGCTACAAAAAGATCTCGGTATTAACGCCCTTTGTACAAAGGTCATTGGGCAACAGAGAGAAGTTGGTAAACTGAAGCCCTCAAAGCTGGCAAGCGAAGGATGGGAGCTGGATGCACTACACCCCTCCGTCAGCCACGCGTTCATGCTCTCGGTTCACTGCTGCGCCGCAGCACACAGGAGGATCAACAGCACACAGTCAGCCTGCAGCAGGGACAGTGCCGCCGCAGAAACACACGGAGCGAAAAGACGGCTCTCGGCTCTGGGCCTGGACGTCTGATGCCATCTCTAACTGATTTACAAAATGAAATACAAAAAGGAGTGTCTGCGTTGACTTGAATTTGCATTTGCAGGCTACTGCTTCTCCGTACAGAAAGACAATAAGGAAGAGCTGGCGCACACGCGTTAGTCAGCTCCCAGAGCCCGCTGCTCCTTACCATATGGAAGTTGCCATTTCCACTGAAATTGAACTCACACTGCATCATGTCAAAGAAAATGGGGATGGTGGCTTTCCGGAGCTCTACTTCTGGGGTCAGAGTGACCTCCAGAATAGGACCCACCATGGATGGGATGAACTTGATTTTGTGGGGACCTGAAATGAAAGTAAGTGAGAATATTTAAAATTCACTTCCCACTCACAAGAGCGTTGCAATCTTCCACCACAGAGTCCATAGGAAAAGAAAGGGCTTCTGTGGGTAAACTGCCTCAATTGAGAAGCGAGGGGATAGTGTTCTGACAACGCGTGGATGCCGTGACAACAGTCTATTGTCAATGTTCCAGTTGAGACAAGAGTGCAGAACCCATGAATCAACTTTTACTTACAGATACATGACCAAGTAAGTCTCGGAGTTACGTGAACTAGTCACTGTGGGATGCTGGGGCCTGCTCAAGGCGCCGACACTCACCCAGGTTATACCACATGTCCCGGATCCTAAAGCCGATTTCCTTTCTCATGTCCCCGTATCTAGGAAGAAGACCATAAACCAAGAAAAGGGTTTTCAGTGGAAACAAGGTGGATGCCATACAGCGGTTCCTGGGTGTCGGCAGGGGATTGGTTCTAGGACTCTCCGTAATCCCCTAATCTGCAGGTTCTGCATCCTGTTTGTAACACAGCGCAGGACCTGCCCATCACCCGCACATCTTCCCCTTTGCTCTGAATAATCTCTAGCCTATCTAAAACACCTTGAGCGTACAAATGCAATGGCACTGCTTGTGATACCGGATCAATCCGGGAACAATGTGAAGAAAGAAAAGCCTACGTATCAAGTACAGATGTATAATTTCCCCCCCGAAGATGTTTGATCTGTTTGTTAGTAGAACATGCAGAACTCGCAGAGATGGAGAACCAAGCGCACGATGGGGCAGTGAAAGCAGCCCGCTGCCCTCAGGGTCCTGCGTGAGACAGAAGCACTGAGGAAACGAGGCCAGGACTTAAATGAGCTTCAACCAGCATCTTCAGCAGCAGAAGTGACCAAATGGAAATGCTGAGAAATAACTGAGAAGACGAGTTTAATGATGAAAGAAGAGTGAAGCCCTGAGGAAAAGAAGGTGAGCGAGGGGCTGCTTCTACGTAATGAGCCCTCTGGCCAACGTGCAGGGTGGCATTCGGAACCCACACTTGGGAAATACACACCCACACCAGCCTGGTTTTCGAAGTGCTCATGCCAGAAATCTCTAGCCTAGTGATGGCAAACTTCTAGAACTTTCGATGATGACAAAGTGCCAGCTGTGATATATGTACTGCAGCTCTGCTACCACTGCACTAGTCCATGTGCTCCCAATGGGCGCCATACCCTCCACAGGCATGAAACTGGTCCTTGCAGGCAAAAGTAAGCCTTACTGCTTCTTATTCTTTACTCATCCATTTGTATGTTCATTCACTCATTCATTCACAGTACTGGGGACGGAGCTCGGGGCCTTTGCACTGAGCCATGTCCCTAATTCTTATGTTCTATTTTGAGACAAAGTTTCACTGAGTCAGTAAGTTGTCCGGGCTGGTTCAGTTCTCCTACGTCAGCCTCTCAGAATGTTGATATCACAGGCAGGGACCACCGGGCCTGGCTGTCCTTATGTAGGTAGGCAGCACAGAGATTTCATGGAGCATGGAGATAATTCATGTTGATGCAGCACATCAACAGATACAGAGTTTATCTGTGGTGCTGAAATTTCGTGGGGGAGTGATTAGGAAAATACTGTCTAACAAAGGTTCTTCATCAGCATTGCCTTCGTGAAGAAACACAGGGCCAGGAGGCAATGACTTTTGGCTGGAGGTAAAACAAAGCTGCTTGAAAAGCCTCTTACGGATTCTCATGCCCGAGTCTGACCCGTACCACATACCACACACGGGGCTGGATTCCTTTGAGCAAATGGAATGTAAGTGTCAAAAATGGATACTGGAAATGCTCCCGATACACCCTAAATCAGGCTCTCGCACATGGCCTGTGGTCACCACTCTCTTCCTGCACAAGTGCCCCAAACAGGATTTTTTTTCTTTTTCAAATTCTTTTTAAATGTCTTTAAAAGCCAGAACCATATTTAGGACCGTATTTGAAAATTTCGCTTAATTCCAAAACAGACCTGGGGGAACACTATGGAATGCACTCCTTAACCTCTCCTTAGTCTTGCACATCATTCTGTTTTGAATTCCAAGACAGGAAACGTGGAGAGCATCTGTAGATTCTGTAGGAATTTAGCTTTTTGGTAGACATGACCATGCACCAAAGGAGCCCACTTTGCTGGGGAGGCTCTAAGCCTGCAATTTGCAAGAACTGCCAGCAGATGGCAGGTGTTCCTGGCACAGGGGGCTGACCTGTGCCTCCCAGGTAGCTTAGAACAGCACAGGATGGCTGATGGGAAGAAGGATGGAACTTTGAGGGAATTTTAGGTCTATGAAGTGAGCAAGACCTACTACGCTGACAACATGGACATTTATTGAATGGTCATTTCATCCCCACCAAACACATCACTCTGAATATAAACAGATAAATCACCTTCCCAATCCTAAGCGAGTTTAAAAGGACACTTACTTTTTCACAATTTTGTTGCGTTTGGCTTGGGAGAAGGTTTCGAGCTGAAGGGACTCATGGGTGAGAAATGCTACTGCCAAATGGAAGTAATTGTTCCAGAGCTGTTTAAAATGAATTGAGTGGGCAAAAAGAAAAGGAAAATAACATCAGTAAGTCATAACAAAACAGAGCCACATGGTAGAAAGACATTAACTGGGGACTCATGAAAAAAACAAAATAAAATCCACAGGACTTTTTGTTCTTTCTCGGGTTTCAATGACTCAGTCCTGAATTTAGGGTCTCAACATTAAGCTTTTTGAAAATTCAAACATTACATTTTTCTTTTCTCCTGGGATCAAGAAAAACTGCTGCCAAGACGTGTACCTATTTATAGTGGGTGGTTTGGCAATACGTATTTAAGGCCCTAGCATTCTGCCAAACTTTTGAACTAGTAAAGACTTCCAAAACCTTGCCCTATAAAGTTAACTGTGGCTAATTAAAAAAATTTAGAACAAGGAAGGTCATCACAGTACTATTTAATGTAACAGAAAAATGAAAATTATCAAAATGTTCTTAAGAAGAATTTGGTAAAATAAATCATGGTCCAGCCATGTAAGGGACTGCATTCCCAATTAAAAATACTGTGGAAGGGCTGGGGAGATAGTTCAGTAGACTAAGCACCTGCATGGAAAGCTCAGGGTCATGAGTTCAATCCCCAGTACCACAAAACAAAAAACAAAATGAAAAAAAAAAAAATCCTGTGAAAATATTTAGCACCATTAAAAAAAAAAAAAAATCATAGGCTATAGAAAAAAAAAGTAGATGAACAAGTTACCACAGAATTACACGGCTCAACTCTATTTTGGTGCATACATACATACATACACACACACATATATACACACATATACAACTCTCTCTAAATAAACATGTATGTGAATACTGGATCCTTTACTCAGGACTGGCCAGTTTAAAGGTTCTGCAGATGCAAAGGCACATGGCAGAGAAAGCGCAGCATGAACAAAACACACGGTGGCATATGAGCGCTGCAAAAATAGGGACCTGATACGTCTTCACGGGAACTAGAATAGCATCTCGTACATGGAAATACTCTTAATATTTGTGGGAGGGAGGGAGGGAAGGAGAAAGGGGGGGAAGAAAGGAGAGAGGGAGGGAAGGGGGAAGAGGGAGGAGAGAGGAAGGAAAGGAGGGAGGGAAGGAGGGAGGGGAGAGGGAGGGAGGAGAAGGGAGGGAGGAGGAGAGAGAGGGAGGGGGAGGGAGGGATAGAAGGAGAAAGGGGGGAAGAAAGGAGAGAGGGAGGGAAGGGGGAAGAGGGAGAGAGGAAGGAAAGGAGGGAGGGAAGGAGGGAGGGGGAGAGAGAGGGAGGGGAGGAGGGGGAGGGAGGGATGGAAAGAAGGTGGAGCTAGTGGTACACTGGCCTCTCATATAGCACGCACAGGAACTGCTTTTGAGCACAGGACCATTTGTAGGTAGAAGCAATAACCATACATGGGCCTAGGTGTAGGCATACATGTTTGAGTATTTATGTAAATATACGCAGTATCAACCCCCAAATACTAAGAGCAGAGTATGTGACTACTGCTGTACCCCCTCCTAGGTGGTCTAGTTCTCTGAGGTTTCAGTTATTTGCAGTCAACCATGGTCTGAACATGCCAGTCTTTATGTTGATTCTTTCAAGGAAGACCACATTCATTAGATTTTTACTAGACTATATTATAGTTATTCTAGTTCATTATCAGTTATTTTTAAGCTCTAATTGTGTCAGATTTGTAAATTAGAACTTTAATCTGTGGTTTCAGCCATCTCCTGCTGGTCAAGGGACATCCATACTGCAAAGAAGGGAGATGGGCATATTTGTACTTTTGATATTATTATTATTTCATTGTTATTTTTGCAGTACCAAGACCCAAATCCATGGCTCTGCACGTGCCAGGCCAACGCTCTGCGGCCGAGCCACACCCTCAGCCATTTTTAGAGTAGTTTTGGAGACAAGGTCTCACTAAGTTGCCCAGGCCGATCTTGAACTTGCAACCTTCCTGCCTCAGCCTCCTGAGTAGCTGAGGTTCCAGGCGTACCCCACTGAAACTGGTTTCAGATTTCTTATTTTTGCTTATCTTAGTTACATTTTCTGCTTTATGTTCTTTTTGTGTGTTATTTGAAAGAAAGAAGAAAAAGCCTTATTTTGCTTGGAGGATGACACGACAGGAATGTATGCTATAGGACATGAGAAAATATAGGAAAAGCTTAATTATTTATTGATTTTCAATGTATTTACTACAAGGTCTACAAAATCTTACTACAAAGATCAGACTCGCAGTGATCCTCCTGTTTTCAGCCTCCCAAGCACTGGGATTCCAGGTGCGCGCCACCATGCCCAGTCTCAGTCACTGTCTCAGCCACCCCAGAGGTGGGGCCAGCACAGCATGCTGGGGATTGAACCCCGACTGCTGAACCTGCCTAAGCAGGCGCTTTAAGCCACTGACCTATCTGGCTGGCCCTAGGAAAAGCTTTTTATTTGACAGTGATGAGGTCTGAGGCAATTCTTCTCTAAGTGGAAAGTTCTTTTGCTCCAGCCTAGAAACCCAGGAACCTCTGGGTGGGTTGTACACTCACCTGAAGTTCAAAGCTTGCCTGGTCCATGAAGGATCTTGTGAGAACCTCAGCAAACTGGTTGACGGCACGGAGAAAAACCCTGGGGATGAAAGCACTTGGTAGAGCTGGGTACTCTGCAGCCCTGGAGACAGCTCACCTCCCTGACCATGTTAGAAATGAAACCAAGGAGGCTGGGGAGAGAGTTTAGCAGCATAAGCACTTCCCTGGCAAGCCCAAGATCCTGAGTTCAATCCCTGGCACCAAAAAAAGAAAGAGCCCAAGCTTGCCAGTGTTCACGCCTGCAATACCAGCGTTCTGAGAGGCTGGAGCAGGAGGATCAGACGTTCAAGCCCAGCCCAGCCAATTTAGTTTAAAATAACGAAATCCATAAAGGAATAATGCTGCAGCTTAGCCTAAAGGCCTCGGGTTCAACCCTTGCTGTAGGAAAAATTAAAAAACAAGCAAATTAAGGCCTGGCCAGGAAAGACCACACGTTCTCCATCAGTACACAGAGCAGTCTGCCAAAACCAGCCCAGGCATTGTGCTTCTTGAACTGGCTGGCAAAGTGCCCGGACCACAGCACCACCGAGCTCCGTGCAGCATGGAGCTGACACTGAACAGGCTGGCGGAGCCTCAGGGAGCGCTCACTCTGCAGCAGCGACTCTCCGATCTGAGTATCTAAGGATTCTGACGTTTTTTACAGCGCTGCGTATAATAATGATTTGCGAGGTTTGGCTCAGTACGAAAACTCCAGCCCCTTTCACATGAAATACGTTTGTTTTACTTCACTCTGTTCAGCAAGCAATAGCTATGGGCCAGTAATGGTGAGGCGAGCTCAGACGGAAGCTGGTTTTAAGAAGGTTACACCCTGGTGGGGGAAATCTAGACTTGTACATAACCATCATCTAACAGAGAACGTGAAAAGAATTTTATGAGAGGATCTCAATGACATCTGGAAAAGTTGGGGTGGAACACAGGAGTAGAAAAGCTTCTACCGGAGAGGACACTGAGAAGGGGCTGAGGGGACAGGACAAAGGTGGACAGCCAGAGACCGTGGGAAGGCGCTGCAGATAGAAGCAGCCACATGAAGAGAGCGGAGGCTATGTGTGTTTGGGGATGGAGCTCATTTGCTTGGAGCACAGGTAACCCTGGGGGGGTCATGGGAGGGAAGGCTGGGAGAGGGGGACAGCCCTGAAGGTCATGACCACGTGCAGTTGCCAAAAGAAGATACAGGGGACCAGTGTGGGGGTGGGAGGAGAGAGATCAGACGGAAGAGGCCGGATTGCTGGGAAGGACAAGCCCAAGACCCAGGTAAGATGCAGACCGTGGGCGCCTGCCGCAAGCACATGGGAGTGGGGAACCCCTCGCTTTACAGAGCGTGGGCCTGAAGCACAGAGTTCAAGTCCTGCCAGCACCCCCCAAAGTGCACGCAGCAGAGCGCGGCGCTCAGCGTCTGGGCCCCTGGGCCGGCCCGCGCTCCCACACCTGCTCTGCGTCATGTTCATGACCATCCAGTCTTTGGCGTAGACGTTCTTCCCAATCAGATCCTTAAACATGATAAATGTCTCCATGAGGAAGTCCTGCGGAGAACAGAAGAGGCTAGTGGAGAAAGTGCGTCAGTCACGGCCCTTCTGCCAGCAGGTGGCCAGAAGGGCCCGAGGACAGACAGGACACAGTCCTGGCCCTACAGTGACCGCAGGTTTTTGGGGATAAGGACGCATGGTTACAGCAAATGATCATAGAATTTGATCATCACATCACGTGATGCTATAAGGAAAATAAATGCAAAAAGAATTTGCTTTCTACAAATGGTACAACTAAGTCTGGTAGAAACTAAAGACCCGCCAAAGGTCACAACCACCAGGTAGCTGGAGAGCTACAGTAAGCGCTAGGGCTATGGACACCAAGTGTGTGGCCCGTATGTCTAGTTTTCATCTGCCAGGCACTCCCGGCATGTCTTCAAGTGCTGGGATGTACGCATCCACCACTGCACCTGGCTCAGAAAAATTTTCATTAGGTAGCTAGCCATAAACCTGAATCCAGTCGGCTTTCTCCTTCCAATTCCACCCTATGAAGGACCTCACGCAGTGACCAGCACACAGCACTAGGTAGGCAGGAAGCCTCGCGGGGTCGACTGCTGGTGGGTGACCTGTTGATCCAGTGGTCAGTCTGTTAATTTCCTGAACTGATGCTGAGGGACGCTGGGATGAGAACAAATCTGGCCAGAAAATCAGTGCTAGCCCCATGTCCTTTTGGTTCCAAAGCGAGGCAGACTAGCTCATCCTTAGTTCTGAAGTCAGAGACATTTTCCGAACATTTACAACTATTAACAGCATACATCTGAGGTACTCACTCATTACTTAACTTTCACATTTTTTGTTCAGATGAACAAGAGCTCACAGTTCGTGAGGCAGGGATTGGGCTGAGATGCTGCCTATGACACTGCCTGCACTGGACCAGGTGCTCTAAGCCGAGGGGCGGCACCCTGAAGCAGAGCACTGGGGAGCGCCTGTTATCCACCACCACCAATTATAGTTTGCCTATCATTTTATCTTAGATTCTGATAATAAAAAAGTCAGTACAGATAGCTACTCCTAATAGGCACTAACTCCACACTGAGCGCAAAGCATGGTATTTAATTGGCACACATTAATTGTCAGGCTAGGTATTTTTTTTACAGATGAGGAAACCAAAGTTCGATGAGGCTAAATAACTTGCTCTAAATCTCCTTCAAGGAAGTGGAGGAGACAGAATTCAAAGCTGGGTTCTGATCTGCCACCCAGTCCAGTAAAGGAGGAAACACAGCTGCCCTTGGCCTCCAGCTCACTTGCCCCTCCGGCCCTGACTCCCTCCCGCCAGGCACCTGTGGACACATCTACCTACGGCTGTGCTCACCACCCCATGCTGCCTGCAGCACGAGGCTCCATCACCAAACTATGACAAGAGGTCCCGGGTTTAATCCTTACTGCAGACAGTACTTTGTCCAGTTCCTTAACTGTGCATCTCTTGGGCATCACCAAAAAATACAAAACGAACAAAAAGGACGGGAGTAAGAAAGAAGTTCTATGTCTTTGGGTTCAAGGGCCACATGCTTCTAGTAAAACACACAAAGAAAGAAGAAAATTTAGTGCGTAAAGAACATTAGAAAAAAAAATTAAGAAACCTCTGGGTGACAGAGGTCATCTGAACAAACCTAGCATCACGTGGCTGTAACTTGCTAACCCAGAGCCGTGTCCAGGCCACCACTCTGCGAGGTCAGATGACACCTTCTTCATGGACAGCTCAGCTCTACTAACAATTCCCCAGAGCTGCAGCCAGGGGTGTGATACAAGAACAACTTCACAGCCAAGATGGAGAAACGGGCAACCAGTGCTCCTTTACATGAGACTAGCTCTTCTCAGAGGAAGAAGATCTCCCGAATGTTCCTAACAAATGCACGGGACTGATGGAGTATGATAGGACCACATGGTGCACTTACTGGATTCTTCCTCAAACTCTATCAAACACAGCAAGTAAGACTCCACTCCGCTGTGGATCTAACCCCAAGGCACTGCAGGTGTGGAGGAAGAGAACCCTGGACTGGAACGCTCAGCTTCAGCTGTTGATGCTTTTAAATGAATTGCAGGAAGTGTTCGGACCATCAGGACCCAGTGCCAACAACTTACGATGACATCCTGCCTGGTCTTGAAAGTGCTGATGTAGTGGCTGTAGTGGCTGTCGTCCATCTGCCGCAGGACAGCAATCATGCAGGCCACAAAGCTGCCCTGCAGAGGAAGGCAGAAACACAGATCCGAGGCTCCACCAACAGACAAGGCTGAAAGGGCCTGCCAAATAACTCAGCGGATTAGGGCCCCGGGATTCCAGCCCTGGGCCTGCAGTGTGGCCCCGCCCCCAGGGGGTGCTGAGCCTGTGACTCAGACTGGGTGCTGTGCGCCTATAATCCCAGCTCTTGGGAGGCTGTAAACAGGCGGATCATTACAAGTCACATCTAGTAGTGAAACCCTGAACACCCTATAGACCCTTCCCTAAAATAAAAAAATAAAAATAAAAAACAGACAAGACTGAGACTCGGACGCCAGTTACTCTGGTTCCCTCCCCACCCGCTGAACTGAGTTTTGTGATAAGCCAGAATCCTAGTACAGAATTTCATGAGGAAATGCGTGAAACACATCAGTGTGACAAATCTGAATGTGGTGCAGAGCTAGTAGGAAAACGCCAGGTCTAGGCAGCGCGCCCCTAATTTGAAAACCTGGAATCCAATGTGAAGAACTAATCTGAAGACAACATTATACAATACAACAAATACTGTGAAACCCATACCCTTTTGTTTAGTGAAATTTTGTATCACTTGTAATTTTTCTGTTTTAGTATTGTTTTGTAGTGGCTTAAAAAAAAAAAAAAAAGCAAACCTGGAATCTGAAATATTCCAAGTAACTATAAATTTTGGAACACTGTGGATTTTGGTTTTTTGTTTGTTTTAGAGTAGTGATACTCAACTGGTAAAGTCTGTTCATAGTCCCCGGTCCAGAAATCTTCAAAATTTGAAACACTCCCAAAAGTTTTCAATGAGGGTTATTCAAGTTGTAGTGATGCTGAGAGTGGACAGATGGGAGAAGCACGGGGGGACCCCAGCTCCTGCTCTAGCACTTGAATGCCAGAAGTTCTGCCAACTCTAGAGACTTTATGCCAGTGGCCGCAGTGTGGGACTTATGTAGAAATGCACCCCAGATTTGAGGGGAAAAAATGAGTAAGCTGATGACTACCAAGGTTTGCATTTGTAAGGTTATGACAGTGTGAACAAGTCACATGCTGGCATGCAGCCAGAGCTGAGTGCCCAGAGGCACTGCCATCTTGTGCCCATGCAGATGTGAAAATGCCACACATTCAGATAAATCTGACACAGAGGACATGAATGTCCAGCCGCTATAGGGAGGGAGTATCTTCCTTTTTAAAATTTTTAAAAATCATTCGTTCATTCACTCATTTGGTACAGGGTCTCATTACGCAGCTCAGACTCACGGCGATCCTCCTGTCTCAGCCTCCCCAGTGCTAGGATTACAGGTGTGCACCACCAGGCCCAGTTTTGGGGCCAACACAGCATGTCCAGGGTTCTGGGGTCAGCACAGCATGTGGCACCAGGGATCGAACCCAGGTCTTTGCCCTTGCCTCGCAGGCACTTAAACCACCGAGCTATCTCCCCAACCCTGTCTTCCTAAACACAAAAACCATGCAAGACTGTCTGTGTGCTCCTTGCACTTTTGTTGCTGAAAAAAAAAAAAAAATACTCCTTATTATAAGGCAGTGCAAACTTACTGTGCTAAAGCTTCTGATATGTACTGCAAGTTGTCATAGTTTGTGTTAATACCACTATCAAAAATTTTATGTTCCTTTAGGTCCTTGCCTCCTCTGGCTACTGAATTTAATCTCACTTTTGGTTAATTTGCATTTCTGGTTTTCCTTTACCACTTACTTTTCTCATTTGGTTTTTCACTCATATTCCTTATTCATTTTTCTATTAAATGACATATTTTCCTTAGTGTTTTGTATATTAAGCATCCTTTCCAAATATCATTGGTATTTTTATTTTGAGACGACAGGGTCTCACTGTGAAGCTCAGGCTGGGCTTGAGCTCTTGATCATCCTGTTTCTGCCTGCTGAGTGATGGGATGACGGGTGAGACTGTTAGCTACCTGCCACGCATTCATGCCTATGATGTGGCTTTTTTTTTTAGTGTGATTCAGATACTGGCCAGTTGCCACGTTATAATTTTTACAGTTTGGTGCTCAACATTTAATTTATGCATGTATTTTCCCATGTAGGGGATTACATTTTTTATTTAGCAAAATATAACTGCTTTTTTCCTTTTTAGTTCTCTGGAATTCACAAATCTGTTTTTTTGTTTTTTGGGGTTTTTTTGTATTCAGTGCTGGGGGTGTCTATAAGGTATACAGGGTCTCACTACACAGATAGGACTTGTAGTGATTCTCCTGTTTTCAAGCACTGGGATTACAGGCGCAGGCCACCACGCCCAGTCTCACTTGCTTTCTCAGCAAGTCCTGGGGGCGGGGCCAGCATGGCAGGCTGGGGATCCAACCTCCGACCCCTGTGTCTGCCTAGGCTGGCACTTTAATCTGCTGAGCTACCTGGCCGGCACTCTGCTCTTTTTTAAAAAAAAAATAGCACTAGGTATTTAACCCAATGAGCTACATCCCTAGCCTTTTTAGAATTCCAAGACAGGATCTAAGTTACTTAGTTACACAGGGTGGGCTTGAACTTGTTGCCTCAGCCTCCCAGAGCGCTGGTATCACAGGCATTGTTATGGTTTGTGTCTAGTTGTCCCCCCAAAGCCTCATGCAGTCATGGGGTGAGGACTTCTAGAGTTTGTGTTAACTCATGATCCACTGGGATTATGTGTGATCCAAGGCTGGGATTATGGGTCTTAGTACTGCTGGGATTACCCATAGGTGGGAAAATACTGGAAGTACCCATAGGTGTACTTCCCCTACCCTGGGGCAGGTAATTTGCATGACAATGTAAGGAGGGAAGAGAAGCTAGCTGCTTGAGCTGCTGCTACCCCTCCCTTGCTCTCTTGCTCTTTGCCGCCACCATGAAAGGTTGCTTTCTGCTCTGTGCTGCTCTGTCTTGGACCCAGCTGAGTATGGACTGAAACCTCCAGTAACTGAGAGCTAAATAAACCTTTCCTTCCTTCATTTTGTGTGTCGGGTATTTGTCCCAGCAACGAGAGAAGAGTAACTAAGACAGGCATGAACCCCAATGCCTAAGAATCCCATTTCTTGTAAGGTCAGATATATTTTCATTTCCATTGCTCTTCCAGCTGCTTTTAATTTTTTTACATTGAACTCTTCATTCCATTTGACATTTATTTTGAAGGGATAACAGGAGTCAATAAAATTTTGCCAGAATTTACTACAGGTAAGGAAATGTTCATACAGTCAAGTCTACTTTTCAATTCCTCGGCTCCATTCTATATAGGCATGGTATTGCATGAATCCTGTATTATTTAATTATTATTTTCTAATCTGACAAGTAAGCGCTTCATTATTATTTCCACTTGGCGAATCATTTACCTGACTCTCAATTCTTGTTTTCTGCATGGCTAGGTATTGAATCCACATTTCGCACACCGCAGGTGAGCACTCTACCACCTGAGCTACATCTGCAGACATCATCATAGTTATTTTTACTCTCATATATTTAAGACTCAATTAAACAGAAGTTTTCTTTATGTCTAAGTAGATACCGGTGTTATATACAAAGGACCCTGAATATTACCTGTTGCAAACTAATCTAGTTTAAGAAACTCTTCATTAGTTTATAAAAATTTCAGTTTTTATGAAATTTGAGTTTCCTCAAAATGCTATTTCAGTTTTAAAAAAATGACAATTACGATCATTATGGCTCCTTTACCAACAGCTATATTTAGCATGGTTCTTATTAAATTGCTTAATTATAAAAAATGTTAAGCAATGGCGTTGAGATTGAACACCCTGGTTCTTCTATGACCACTAAGTATTATGATTCCTAATGATTTTATGTTAAATACATTCCTGCCTCTTATTTATTAACTTGGAGTATATGCTATACCATTTTGGTATCTATGGACAGAATTGTTAGGCTTGCTTCCTTTTATTGAATTAAGACATTCTGTTTATGTATTCTCTAATATTTAACCATTCTTGAACAACCAGAATAAACTGTATAAAACTTTATATTCTTTTGGTGTATTTGCCTTTCGACTGTGCTTGGGTCTCTTAGTATGTCTAGTCCTCATGCTTTTCTTTCCTCAGGGTCCTCCTGCTGCTGCCTCCCCGAGTGCTGAGATTACAAGGTGTGCACCACCCTGCCTTCCTGCTTATCTTTGTTCCTTGAACATAAAGGGTCTCATGGTTCTGAGAGAACACACACAACGGAGAACAGGAAGCCCATGTCAGACCTCGGATCTGCTCAAGAATATGCCCAATACCCAGGATGCGAGGGTCCTCGGGGAGTGGGGCTTGAGCCCCGGGGCTCCTAGGCACACGGGACGCAAGGCAGCAGAAGCTGCGGCGAGAGACACTCACAATGTGGGGGGACTGCCGGCTCATCCCTATCACCGTGCGGTTGATCCTTCTTAGCAGTCGCTCCATGATCAGCTGGATGTGCGCTGCCGTGGGGCCCTGAGGGAGAAACGCAGGACGTGAGGTTGTTTCCTCTGACTCAGTTTCCCTTCTCCCATGGGAACCTGGGAAAGAGGAGATTGCTACGAAGTAATCTCTTCTCCAAAACAGAAAATGCTGTCAGAAAATGAAGCAATATGTAACTACGTGATGACAGTCAATTCAGAATAATCACCTAAATCATTTAAAAGTGAACGTGGAGGTATAGGAATGAAATCGGTGGCCCCTAAAAATGTGGACAGCTCAGGTTTGCCATGAGCTGTCTGTGGACACAGATCATTAGGGGAGGCCCAGGAGCACGAGGCACTCAGCTGTGGTGCTGAGCAGACGAGGGCCATTAGGCCACCAGGCACACGTGTGGGAGGAAAAGCGAACTGGAAGATTCTCGCCACCAGTGTAGGTGGAAGATTAAAAAAGAAACTCAAGCCAAGAGGGTTATGAAGTGAATATTTGTGTTTCTTTCAAATACTTACCTTGAAGCTCTAAGGACCAAAGGTATCAGGGGTTGGGGGCTTTGGGAGGTAGTTAAAGTTAGATGAGGTCAGGAGGGGGTGGGGCCCTCCTGGTGTGAGGGGATTAGTGCCCTTATCAGAAGAGACACAAAGCTTGTAGTGGCTCTTGTGATGTGCTGCACATCTGTGATCCCAGCACTGTGGGAGGTTGAGAAAGAAGGTTTCAAGTTCAAGGCTAGCCTGGGCAACTTGGCCAGGGCCTGTCTCAAAAAGTAAAAACAGGGTTAGAGACGTAGCTCAGTGTGAGAGCCCTGATTCTGTCTGTCTGTCTGTCTGTCTGTCTGTCTGTCTGTCTGTCTGTCT